GCGTTCGTCCATGATTGATTCTCGGTATTCTACCTACGTTGTTTTAATGAAGTGTCGGTTTAGATCGAAACGCTCGTCCTATTCTTTGATTCCTTAACGAAACGTATAGCATTCGTCCAAATACTTAATAAATGTATATTTCGCGTCGGTCATGGACTGGCAGTCGTCCCCTTTAAACAAAAGGTTCCCAAATGTAGTTAAGTATTCTTCTTGATGTATCTTCGTCCAAGTGAGTCAACCCGTCCTCTTGGAACTTTTAAAATATTGAAAAATGGTACGTATTATCTTGAGTCTCTTTCTGAATTGGTTAATGGGTTCTTCTAAATCTTCGGCTTTTAACGTTCGTCCTCTTCCTTCAGAAAGGTTGAACTTCGTCCTTTAAGAGAGGGGAACATACGAATGAAACCTGTTATAATTGAATACTTAAGAGGATGTGGTAACACCCTATTCCCATTTAATCTTATACCATATGGAATTTGAAACGAGCGTTCTAGGGAGGAACGTATCAGATATGTTAAACATTAATTTGGTAAAGTGACTGTGGATAAGTTAGACTCGCTTGGTCCATCCTGATGTCCGTTGATACTCATCTTCATGTAGAGGAGGGAGCCATGTGTGGGAACGGCCAGGAGGTCCTTAGTCCATAAGTTAACATGGGGCGACGTAAGAACAGACTAACCTCGAGTGGCAGCTGTTGAGTGTATCCCAGTTACTACACCACTCGGGTGCAAAGGCTTGTAACTACACGGTTCATACAGCGCGGTTTGTCATATATAGATATATATATATATATATATTTCTATGTTATGCTATGTTAAGTTACTTGCTGTATGAGTGAATTGTAAATGTTAAATGTATGTGTTGATTGTATGAATTAAATTGTATAAGCTTACCCTTTCGTTTTTCCTTGTGTTGTCATACTATCTATGTACGTTCGTCCTGTCTTGCAATGATCATCCGTGTGGATGTGAGCAGAAGGCGAGGCCACCCTAGAGGATGTGATCGAGGAAGAAAACTTGGTTGAAGTTGAAGTGAAAGCGGAGCAGTAGGACGCCCGTCTTTCGTTTTAGTTTAGTCGTTCGTTTTTGGAATGGACGTTCGGTTATTTATTTTGAAAAACCGTTCGTCTTAATCTCGTGTATATGTGCACTTAAACCGTTCATTCTAGATTTATGTATACGCTTTATGCACGTTATGTTTGCACTGAAGCCGTTCGGCTCTTGAACTCTGTTAATTATATAAAGACTGCGTTGATTTACTGTTAATTCTAATTAATTCTGAATTATAGTAATTACTGTATTTTGGGATGTTACAGATTCAAAAATAAATAAACAAATAAGTAACAAATAAAAAACTTTTAAAAACTTTAAATAATTACACAATAAATAATACGTAAATAAATAACAAATATAAAACATATTACAAATTCAAAATAAACAAGTTCAAATAAAAAATTACATAATATATAATATTTAATACATACAAATAAATATATAACAAATTATTCATTTCAAACATATTCAAAATAAAAAATAAAATCAATAATTAATTAATAATTAATAAAACGAATAAAACCAACAATTCATAAAATCAATAAAATTACAAATTAAAATTTAAATAACAAACAAAGAAAAAAGTTTTAACAACTTTAAATAATTAAATAATAAACAATACGTAAATAAATTTAAAATAAGACACAAATTACAAATTCAAAATAAATAATTTAATAAAAGAAAAACAATTAAATAATATAAATATTTAAATAAATAATAAATAAAATAAAACATTACTCATTCAAAAATAAATAAACAAATAAATAACTAAAAAAATACATAAAATAATAACATAAAAAATGAATACTTAATTAAATAAAATATATAAAATACATTGCAAATTATAATTTAAATAAGAAACAAATAAAATACTTTTAAAAACTTTAAATAATTACATAATAAATAACACGTAAATAAATAGAAAATATAAAATATATTACAAATTCAAAATTAAAAAGTTCAAAAAAAAAATTACAAAATATATAATATTTAAATACATACAAATAAATATATAACAAATTATTCATTTCAAACATATTAAAAATAAAAAATAAAATCATTAATTATAAAATAATTAACAAAATCAACAAAACCAATAACACCATTAATTAATAATCAATAAAATATATAAATAACAAACAAAGAAAAAAATTTAACAACATTAAATAATTAAATAATAAACAATACGTAAATAAATTTAAAATATTACACAAATTACAAATTCAAAATAACAAATTTAACAAAACTAAAATAATTACATAATATATAATATTTAAATATATACAAATAAATATATATCAATTTATTTATTTCAAACATATTTTAAAATATTACAATATATAAATACATAATAAAACTTAAAAACTAAACAAATTAAAATTAAAATCAATATTAAAATAATACAAATATAGAAAATAAACACATACGGATCTCCAAATACGGCAAGGGCTTCTGCAGCATTCGAATTTCGGTGACGCTTTAACCTGCGTTCGAGCAGCAGTGAGACCTTTACCATAATTCGAATTTCGGTTAAAGTCTCTGAGCCTCGATTCACGTCATTAAACCACAAATCCAAGCATCTAGTAATAGTGATTTAATTCCATTTCTACGTTCAGTCATGATACTTCAATCCAATTTCTACTGAAATCCATATATACATACAACAACATTGGAATAGATAATTGATAGAGGAGAGAAAGAAAGATCAACCTGCACAAATCAAAGCCGCATAGAGGAGGTCCGAACACCATCACACCACCGAAGGCGATAACGACCAACACCAAACGAACCAACACAGATTCCGGAACAGATGACCCCGATCCATAGATAGTGAAGGGAAAGAGCTCTGTTACAAATTGCAAAGTCATCTTTATAGCTAAGACCTCCACATCACCAATCTTTTTAATCATTGAGAGTGACATATGTTAGTGTTGGTGCAGTAGAGGGTTTAGAGAGAAAGGTCTAATAGCAAAAGAATGTAATACGGAGGATAGAGAAACGATTATTTCTCATTAACGCAAAACTAGTATAAGTACAAAGTAGGATAACTGTCATTTTAACCGTTAAAGTAGTTATGCAGTTTAGATTTACATTTTAACATTCCTCTTTAAAGCTAAACTACTCAAGGATCTAACTCCAAGTGATTCTCTCAGCCTTTCTAATCTGTTTTGACGCAAGGCTTTAGTGAAAATGTTTGCGGTTTGATCATCTTTGTTGCAATATACCAGTTCTAGCTTTCCTTTACTGACTTGATCTCTGAGATAATGAAACTTGGTTTCTATGTGTTTGCTTCTGCCATGGGAGATTGGATTCTTGGATAAGTTGATAGCAGATTTATTGTCCACCATTAAGCGTGTTGGTTTGTGTTGCTCAATTCTCAACTCTTGTAGAATGGCTTCCAACCATTCATACTGTCAAGCAGTTTCTTCAGAAGATATTTATTCTGCTTCACATGATGAGAGCGCTACGACGTTTTGTTTCTTCGAACACCACGATATGGAAGCTCCCATTAGTTTAAACACATACCCAAAAGTGCTCTTTCTGTCCACTTGATCACCACTCCAGTCTGCATCACACCATGCCTCTAAAACATCGTTTGTGCAATCAACTTTCCTGGGGAAATAGAGGCCATAATCTGTTGTTCCCTTCAAATAACGTAGAATGTGCTTGGCAGCAGCGAGATGAGACTGTCTAGGGTCGTGCATGTATCTGCTGAGGAGTCCAACTCCGAAACTGATGTCTGGTCTGCTGTTGCATATGTAACGAAGAGTTCCTACTATCTGCTTGAACAATGTTGCATCAACTTTGGTTTCTTCTTGTTGACAAGAGAGTTTCAAATTTACCATGACAGGTATGGATGTGCAGTTACAGTTCTTCAAGTTAAATCTTTCCAATGTCTCTAAAATGTACTTTCGTTGATGTATGAACATTCCACCTTCTGTCTGCATGAATTCCAGTTCGAGGAAGTAACCCATGTTGCCAAGATCTGTCATTTCGAATTCATTCTTCATCTTTGCTTTTTATTCTTCAATCTCCTGTGTGGAGTTCCCAGTAACTAATAGGTCGTCTACGTACAAGCATACTACGAGAGTACCTAGCTGCTCAACAAATTTCACGTAAATTCCATATTCAACTGTACATTTTTTAAAACCATACCTGATAAGCAATGTGTCAATATGCTTGTTCCAGGCTCGTGGTGCTTGACGAAGGCCGTATAGTGCTTTGTTTAGTCTGTATACTTTCAGCTCTTGTTCCCTTTTGACAAAGCCAGGTGGTTGATTTATGTAAACTTCTTCTTCGAGAGGGCCATTAAGGAACGCAGATTTTACGTCCATCTGGTGAATGGTCCAACCATTGAAGTTGGCTATAGCAACGATGAGCCTTACAGTCTCTAACCTTGCAACAGGGGCATAGACATCAGTGAAATCTATCCCGGGTTTCTGTAAGAAACCTTTTGCGACCAACCTGGCTTTTAACTTAGCAATACTTCCATCCGGTTTGTATTTGGTTTTAAACACCCATTTTACCTCTATGGCTCTTTTGTGCTCAGGCAATTCAACCAACTTCCATGTTCTATTTTTCTCAATTGCTGATAGTTCTTCCAACATAGCTTCCCTCCATTGTTTAATCTCAATGGCTTGTTCCCACGTGAGTGTTTCTGCACTTGCCAAGAAAGCATAGTGAACTATATCACCTGTGTCTGTAATATCACTGTCATTAAACAGTTCATGATCTGCGAGTCTCGTGGAGGGGAATCGCGTTCTTTGTGATCTTCGGTTTTCAACCACTTCATCAGTACCAGACTGTTTGGTCTCCTCGGTCCTATTCTCCTCCATCCAAGTAGTCACCTCAGCACTAGATTGCTCCAATGGGTTACTCTTTGCATCAGACCATCTAAACGTAGCTGACTCATCTACTATCACATTCCTGCTGATTGCGATTTGTCTCTTCACAGGATCATACAGCCTGTATGCACCGGTTGAATGATATCCTACGAGGATGAGAGTTTCACTTCTGTCGTCCAGCTTCTTTCGTCTTTCATCCGGGATGTGCTTATAGCAAACTGATCCAAAAATCTTCAAGTGTCGGACATCAGGTTTCCTCCCTGACCAAGCCTCTTCTGGCGTGCATATTGGTAGCGCTTTGGTGGGACTCCTATTCAGCCAGTAGGTAGCCGTCGAGACAGCTTCTCCCCATAGGTAATTCGGAAGACCTTTCCCTTTGATCATACATCTGGTCATATCCAGAAGCATACGATTTCTTCTTTCAGCTAATCCGTTGTGCTGGGGTGTGTAAGGTGCTGTAACTTCATGTAGAATTCCTTTGTCAGCACAAAATTTGTTCATTTCTCCAGAGTTGAACTCGCCTCCACCATCAGTTATGAGAATTCTAACTTGCTGACCCGATTGTCTCTCAGCCATGAAACAAAATTTAACAAAATGTGTGTAAGTTTCTTTCTTTTCTCTTAGTAAATATACCCAAAGTTTTCTGGAGAATTCATCTACAAAGAGTAAGAAATACTTGTTACCTCCTATAGATGGCACGTCAAAACGGCCACATACATCTGCATGTACCACATTCAACAGCTGTCTCGCTCTCTTGGGTGCGTATCGTTTGAAGGATTTTCTAATTTGCTTTCCAGTAGCACAACTCTCACATACTTTGCTTGGTACAACGAATGTAGGGATGCCTCTCACAAGATCTTTATCCTTCAGTTGACATAGGCTTCTAAAATTTAGATGCCCATATCAAAAGTGCCACAACCATTCATTTTCTTCCTTAGCACTTGTTGTATTCAAACATTGTATCTCTGTTGCATTCAGATTTACTCTAAATGTTCGATTTCGCGCAAGGGGAGCTTTGAGTACCATCCGCTTTCTTTGGTCGAATACCTCAATGTGTTTCTGATGCATCTTCATGGTATAACCCTTTTCAAGAAGTTGGCCGAGACTAAGGAGATTACTTTTCATTGCGGGTACATATAAAACATTGTGCATGAACACAGATCTTCCATTTTTGCGAGTGATTAACACCTTGCCTGTGCCTTCAGCTTTAATTATGCTATTATCTGCAAAACGTACTGTGCTTTTGACACTTGTGTCTAAATCGAGCAACCATTTTCTATTACCTGTCATGTGATTGGAGCAGCCCATATCCAAATACCAAGAAATTTCTTCCTCTGCATGGCTTGTTTTCCCAGTAAGTGACACATACTCTGTTTGGTCGTCCTTCTTTGTATCTTTGTCTGTTTTCCACTTATCGTAGTTTCTATCATGTGCAGCAATACTCATCAACAAAACGTGATCTGAGTCTGTTTCCAGTTCTTCTTCTTTTACAAGATTTGCTTCATCGCTCTTCTCTTTCTTGTTGTTTTCATTGTGCCAACACTCAGATGAGTAATGGCCATATTTACTACACGTAAAGCATTGCACATTTCGTTTGTCAACATTCTTTCTGCCTCCTTTTCCTCTGAACTTTCCTCTAGCTTTATTATTTCCTTTTTTGTATTCTTTGTTGTTATCATCTTTGATTTGTTCAAAAGTATTCTTGAATCTTCCTCCATTTCGGCCTCCACGACCACCACGTGATCTTCCTCTTCCTCTGCCAGTTCCACGGTTCTTGTAAGTTTGATTGCTTCTAGCTTGAAGCGCTTGATTTGTGTTTTGCGTTGCATTCTGTTCTGTTGTTCTTCTCTCTATCAGTCGTTGTTCGTGTGCTTCAAGAGAGTTTTGTAACTCTTCTACCTTCATTTTCTCCAGATCTTTGCTTTCTTCGATGGCCACGACAATATGATCGTACTGAGGCGTTAATGTTCTCAAGATCTTTTCAACTATCTTCTTATCTTTTACTACTTTATCACACGCTCGCATTGCATTAACGACCACCTGAATTCTGCCGATATAATCTTCGATGTTTTCTTGCTCTCCCATGCTCAAGAGTTCATATTGTCTCTGTAGTGATTGAAGTTTTACCTTCTTTACTCTCCCTGAGTTTCCATATCCGTCTTGTAATATGTCCCATGCTTCTTTGTCTGTTATTGCTTTAGACACCTTTTGAAATATCGTTGCAGAAATACATTGGTGCAGAAGCATTCGTGCCTTGCATTCCAGTTTCTTGTTTTCTTTGTAAGTCTTCTTTACTTCTTCCGTGTCACCTTTTGTAGGTTCTTTAAACCCTTTCTTGACAATTTTATCAACTTCTTGAAAGCCTAAGATAGCATCCATCTTTACGCACCAATCATCGTAATTCTTCCCATCGAACACCGACAAGCTACTTTGGATCATTCCTGCCATTGCCTTTCAACGTGAATCCCTCTTCACAAAACAATTTCTTTGTTTGTTCGACGCTTCACCAGGTTCACCAACCTGTAGCTCTGAATACCACTGTTAGTGTTGGTGCAGTAGAGGGTTTAGAGAGAAAGATCTAATAGCAAAAGAATGTAATACGGAGGATAGAGAAACGATTATTTCTCATTAACGCAAAACCAGTATAAGTACAGAGTAGGATAATGTCATTTTAACAGTTAAAGTAGTTATGCAGTTTAGATTTACATTTTAACAACATAGAGGCTGATGTTTGCTCCAAAGTCTAGTCAAGCTTTCCAACTCTCAATTTTCTATGATAGTTTATTATTTTAAAATTATAGTTTTTTTTCTTATTATGCTATATGTTACTTGTTATACCACCCTATTTATCTTTTCAAATTTTAGTTAAAAAATATTTAATTAGGTATCTAAGATATAAAAGCAATATAAAAAATTTGAAAAATAATATTTTGATATATATAAATTTTTTATATTTATTTGATATTATATTTTCTTATTTTCTATTTTTTATTTTTTCAAATTTCAAAAATTTATTTTTTATGATATTTTAGTTTTATAGTATACGTGAAATAGATGTAAAAATGTGATACTATTACTCAAAATATTATTTCCGGGAAAAGAGAAACATAATTACCAGAAGCTATCTCATCTTCCAAATCCACTTCTTCCTTCGTCCCTTCTCTCGTTGAAGCTTCGCGAACGAACAGAACGAACCCAATACACAACCATTCCATAACCAGACAAACACACAAACAAACATGTCCGGTGCGGGCCCTATTTCCCAGGACTGGGAACCCGTCGTCCTCCGCAAGAAAGCTCCCACCGCCTCGGCCAAGACGGACGAGAAAGCCGTCAACGCCGCCCGCCGCGCCGGCGCCGATATTGAAACCCAAAAAAAATGTTCGTTTCCAGTACCCTCAATGAAAAAAGTAAACAAATCTTCGAAATATTGTTCCTCGCGTGTTAATTGTTTTGCAAATATGAATTTCTTCTTACGATTTCATCAGTTTATCGTCGATTTTTTGTTTTTGAAATCTCGGATCTGAACGTGTTTTCTTGTGACTATTGCAGATGATTTGGTGTTGAGGCAGCAGATTTAATTTGCAAATTAAATCTTTTAAATGGTTAGGAAAAAATTGAATTTGATAATTGTTTAGTTTGGAAAAGGGGGTACATAAAAAGCAAGAGCTAAATGATTTGGCATAGAATGCTTATCGGTGTGTCTTTTGTGCGTGTGTTTGTTTGTATGTTTTTTTTTTCTTCTGTTGGTGACCTTTATTTGTTTGGATGGTTTGAATCATGATTGTTCAAATGTTGCTCTTACAGATAATGCTGGGACAAACAAAGCAGCCTCTAGCAGCACTTCATTGAACACCAAGAGGCTGGATGAGGACACAGAGAATCTAGCACGTGAGTATTACAACATATATAGACAGAGAATTAGGTTGTGTTTGATTTATCTTCTGAAAAACTGTTTTTAGTTTTCAAAATTTAACCAAACAAGGTTGCTTGGACAATTGGTGGAGGGTGGTGTAAGCCACAAAGCAGAGCGTGGACAAATAAGATGAGAAAATATCACCAACTTTCTGTATTTTGGATTTCAAAACACTTGTTTTCTGAACGATTTTCAAAGCCTAACAGATTTTAGATGACAAACTTGATTACTGAGTAGTGTTAAATTTTTA